GACAAGGTTTCACTATGTTGGCCAGGCTGGTCTCAAACTCCTGGCCTCAAATAATTCTCCTGCTTTGGCCTCCCAAAGTGCAGGATTACAGGCATGAGCCGCCATGCCCGGCCTTATGTATTCTCATATACATCTCATTCTCAAGGAGTTCCTTCAGTATCCCTGACTGTTCCTTAATTTTGGATCCTCCTTTGGCAAGCTCAAGAAGCCCAATCACAGGGGAAAGAGAGAGAATGGAGCTCAGGACTTAGAGGGTCCCAGAATGTAAGGTTTTATCCGCAAAACCAACTGGGCTCAATACCTTAAGGTATTAGTATAATACTTTGAGCACAGAAAGGACTGAGTCAGTCCAGCATAAGTTTAAATCGCTTACTCCAGGGAATGTAGTTGCATAGGGCTTCCCAAAAGCTTGGAAGGTATGCATAAGTCACTGGGGGAGGCAGGAGTGATTTCTGTCTCTGCCTGTAGATTTCCTGCAAAGCAGTTCATTTTAAGTTAAAGATACATGCCAGGGTCTGCACTAAGTGTTTTAGGTTTGTTATCTCATTTATTTATTTATTTATTTATTTAGAGATGGAGGCTCGCTCTTGTTGTGCAGGATGGAGTGCAGTGGTGCAATCTCAGCTCACTGCAGTTGCCACCACCCAGGTTCAAATGATTCTCCTGCCTCAGCCTCCCAGGTAGCTGGAAGTATAGGCACGCACCACCACGCCAGTTAATTTTTGTCTTTTTAGTAGAGACGGGGTTTCACCATATTGGCCAGGCTGGTCTCGAACTCCTGACCTCAGATGCACCACCTGCCTCGGCCTCCCAAAGTGCTGGGATTACAGGTGTGAGCCACTGCCTGGCCTCAGGTTTGTTATCTCTTTTAAGCCTCAAGAAACCTTATGAGGTAAGTATCACTGTCACATTCATACTATATTACCAAGGTTTGATGACTTGTCTAAGGTCACATACCTCGTAATAGACAATCTATGCTCTTAACCACCATACTGGACAGAATCTATGCTCTTAACCACCATACTGGACAGCAATCCAGTTGTCATGCTAGTGACCCAAAAGACCATCCTTAAGGAAGAGACTCCTTCTCTTTTTTCCTCCATTACTACCAGCTACACTGAGACTTGCTCGTTTCTTCCTAATCTCTGACCTGTTTCCAGCACAGAGCTGGCCACAAAATAAGTGGGCAACACCTTACTGATTGAGTGATGGACTTGTGTCATTAAGAAACCACTGACCTGCTCCCCCCTAAAAAAAAAAAAAAAAAAAAAAAATCCCTGAAGGAAACTGGTTCTTTTGCTACTTTTTTGATTTATTTGTATATCCACCACTGGACCTAGTACGATGCCTAGCCTTTATTCATTATTCAATAATTCATGTTCAGCATTGATTCTTTCAACAAACTTGGGTGCTCAGCTCTCTATCTGGGGGGTGTGAATTCATAAATCTTGCCACTATTAATAATAATAGTAGTAAATAACAATAGTAATAATAAAATCACTATTAGTAATTAATCATAATAATGGTAAATTTGTGAGATCTTCATTCATAGTAATAATGATTACAATAACAGCAAACATTTATTGAGGACTTACTATGCTAGGTGCTATTAGTATTAAAGTGGCCGGGTGCAGTGGCTCCCTCCTGTAATCCCAGCACTTTGAGAGGCCAAGGTGGGTGGAGTGCTTGACTTCAGGAGTTTGAGACCCGCCAGGGCAATATGGCAAACTCCGTCTCCATAAAAAAATACAAAAATTAGCCAGGTGTGATAGTTAATCAGGTGTGATAATAATCAGTCCCAGCTACTCGAGAGGCTGAGGTGGGAGGATCGCTTGAGTCCAGGAGGTCAAGGCTGCAGTGAGCTGAGATCATACACTGCACTCCAGTTGGGGTGACAGAGCAAGAACCTGCCTCAAAAAAAATTTTTTTAAGTATTTTTTCTATCTTGAATGCTTCATTTTCTGTGTTTTAAATAAGACATGACACCATTTAATTCTTAACCCTATAACTCCAAAAATGTCAGTATCTACTTACTCAAGTGAGGAGAGCTGAGTGGCCAGTGTTTGGGCCATAAATTTCTGAAATAGGATGTTCACTGATCCCTTACAACTGTAAACAGGGCAAGCTTGGTCTCTGCTCTGGGAAAATATAAACAGAACCACCTCTGAATCAAAAACATTTCTTATCCTTTTACAGGATGATTGTAAGGACTAAGAAACAAAATCTTCATGTTACCAGGAATCAATGAGTTGGCTTCCATCATTAAAACTTTGTTTCTTGCTTCATGTTCTATGTATATTTAAGCAGCATCCAACTATTTATTGTTCCTAAAAATGCTTCTGATATTTTCATTCTCCAGATTGTGTATCTTTTTACCTATCCCGGGTTGTTCTTTCCCCCACACCCCCCAACCCCCCAATGAGTGAACTATTCCTCTTTCTACAGCCTAACTCGAATATCTTATTAGTGAAGACATACCAAACTGGGCAGTTGCACTTTGTTTTGTTTTTTGCTTGTTTGTTTGTTTTTGGTATAAAAAGAAAGACAGATTGCTTCTTCTTTTGGGCTCAGTAACTTCTTTATTTTCCCTCTCTACTCCCCCAGTAGTCTGTGAGCTCCTGATGATGGGGAAGGGCAGGGACTGTGTCTTATTAGGCTGTCTGGTCCCCAGCTACCAGCACAAGACCTGCCATATAATATTATTGTAGCTAATATTCATTAAACACTGTGCTAATATTCATTAAACAAGTTTAATGAAACGCTGTTCATTAAACTTGTTCTCCCAACAAGTTTGTGAGGTAGGTACCATTCTTACCCATCCCAATTTTTACATATGAGGTAAATTCATGTATTAAAAAGCTGGCCAGGCTCTGTGGCTCACACCCGTAATCCCTGCATGTTAGGAGGCTGAGGCGGGAGGATTGTTTGAGCCCAGGAGTTTGAAACCAGCCTGGTTTTTTAAATATAGACAGAATCTCCCTCTGCTGTTCAGACCAAAGTGCAGTGGCATAATCACAGCTCACTGCAACCTCTGACTCCTAGGTTCAAGCATCCTCCCACCTCAGCTAAGGCTACAGATATGTGCCACTGTGCCTGACTAATATATATATATATATATACACATATATATGTGTATATATATATGTGTGTATATATATATGTATATATAAGTATACATATTTGCATATATACACATATATATACATATATGTGTGTATATATATATACATATATGTGTGTGTGTATATATATATATATATATATATATATATACATATCTCTCTCTAAAGAGAGAGAGAGAGAGAGAGAGAGATGGGTTTTGCCATGTTGCTCCGGCTAGTCTCAAACTCCTGCCCTCAAGATATCCTCCCATCTCCATCTTCCAAAGTGCTAGGATTACAGACATGAGCTACCACACTCAGCCTCCCTTTACACTTTTTAAATTCTGGATGTATTTCTAAAAATTCAGAAATATTAAAACCAAAAATCTGATATATTGTTGATGTTTTAGTACATACAGCTTTCAACTTACAAAAAATACAACTGTGTGCATAACCTCATTTAGATGTAAATTCAGAAAATAAGTTTCATACTCTTCCTGAAAGGCTCTTCTAGCTATCTATCTCTGCAATAGGGTCTGTGAATTACAGAAAATTATCTGCTGTCACGGCTGGTTACTGTCTGGCTACCTTGAGGATGGGTACTATATTTCAATTCTGTGATCCCAGCACAATGCCCAGGGTCTAATAAACATTCAATGAACATTTCTCGAACGACTGTATAGGGCAACCACTTTTGGTCTCAGGGTTCCCTTACACTCTTAAAAATTATTGAGGTTAGTCTGAGTGCAGTAGTGTTTACAACTAACTGATCACCACCAGTTACAGATCTTTTTTATTTCTTCTCTACTCTCACTGCTTCACTTGGCTAGCCCTTAAAAAATAAAAATGGGCCGGGCGCAGTGGCTCACGCCTATAATCCCAGCACTTTGGGAGGCCAAGGAGGGCGGATTGCTTGAGCTCAGGAGTTCAAGACCAGTCTGAGCAACATAGTAAAACTCTGTCTCTACTAAAAATACAAAAAATTAGCCGGGCATGGTGGCGCGCACCTGAGGTCCCAACTACTAGGGAGGCTGAGGCAAGAGAATCTCTTGAGCTCCGGAAGTTGAGGCTGCAGTGAGTCGAGGCTGTAATTGCGCCACTGCACTCCAGCCTGGGCGACAGACCGAGACTCTGTCTCAAAAATAAATAAATAAATAAATAAAGAGTGAAACCAACACCACAGGGATAGACTTCTTTTTTTTTTTTTTTTTTGAGACGGAGTTTCACTCTTGTTACCCAGGCTGGAGTGCAGTGGCGCGATCTCGGCTCACCGCAACCTCCGCCTCCTGGGTTCAGGCAATTCTCCTGCCCCAGCATCCTGAGTCGCTGGGATTACAGGCACGCGCCACCATGCCCAGCTAATGTTTTGTATTTTTAGTAGAGACAGGGTTTCACCATGTTGACCAGGATGGTCTCGATCTCTTGACCTCGTGATCCACCCGCCTCGGCCTCCCAAAGTGCTGGGATTACAGGCTTGAGCCACCGCGCCCGGCTTTTTTTTTTTTTGAGACGGAGTTTCACTCATGTTATCCAGGCTGGAGTGCAATGGCGCAATCTCGACTCACCGCAACCTCCGCCTCCTGGATTCAGGCAATTCTCCTGCCTCAGCCTCCTGAGTAGCTGGGATTACAGGCACGCACCACCATGCCCAGCTAATTTTTTGTATTTTTAGTAGAGACGGGGTTTCACCGTGGATCACGAGGTCAAGAGATCAAGACCATCCTGGCTTAGACTTCTTTTTGTCCTTTTTTTCCTCTTGTGAAGAGTAACGCGGAGTCTTGCCGTAACACAAGATGGCAACCTTCTCTCAAATGTCACTCCGTACAATGACGTCATACAGCGACCGTGCCTTTTCTTCCTGAGAATTTCCACTACATTTCCCAGGATGCTTTGCCAATAGCGACGCCCTTAGTCGTCATAGACGGAAGTGCTCCTGACTGAGCGGAAGTAGAAGATCTCGGAGGCTAAGAAGGTGGAGACCGCAGAAGCTGAAAGGTTGTGAGTAACCCCGTGGGTCTAAGCGTCTTGGCTGCTAGGAACGAAGTTAGGGAATAATCTAATGGGAAGCGCGAGGCGTCACTTCGCTAACCCTAGGAGTTCAAACTCTTGTGTTCTTCTGGTAGACCTGGGAACAAAGAGAAACAAGACATTGCTGTGGAGGCGAAGTGTCCGTATTAACATCTTGTTGGTTTTTAAGTTTTCTTGGAATAAATTAGGGCGAATTCGGACTCCTGTCGTGACACAAGGGTCGTTGGCGTGATTTTGCTGCAACTAGAGCAATTTACATTTTTGCAAATCGCTAGCTGCTGATGGTCTGACTCAGCTTCTACAGCAGTGGCTCGCAATTGGCTGCACATTAGAATCACCTGGGATGCTTAAAAAAAAAAAAAAAAAAATGATGCTCTTGCTTGACGCCACACTAATAAATCAGAGTCTGGTCAGGTTCTGAGCAGTGGTATTTTCTAAAGCATCTCTAATGTTCTCTTTGGCTGCTGAGGTTCACAGTCACTCTTTCTAATGCTTGACTCTGACCTCCATGGTGATCCTGATTAGAGTCACCTGCGCCAGGGCTCCCATTCCACTGTAAGCTGCGTGGGCTCTACCGCACGCATTTGGGTTAAAGTAAACACAGTTTTGGCACGGATTTTATTTTGAGGTCCACTAGAAACGTATTCTTGGGCTTCCTGCGGTGGTGCTAAAAAGACGGATCGTAATTTCTTACTCATGCCTTGGTTATTCTGAATGGAGATTAGAGCTGCTTCCTTTTCCTTGTCACTGTGTTAGTTTCTGCCTAATTTTTGCTATCCAAACAGAACGCGAACAGTGGAACATGGAAGAGTCACATTAAAAACGGCTTCTTTTGTTGCTTATAAGAAGTTCTGGGTAAGGCTCGGTGGCTCACGCCTGTAATCCCAACACTTTGGGAGGCCGAGGAGGGTGGATCACGAGGTCAGGAGTTCAAGACCAGCCTGGCCAAGATAGTGAAACCTTCTCTCTACTAAAACTACAAAAATTAGCTGGGCACGGTGGCAGTTGCCTGTAATCCCAACTACTCGGGACGTTGAGGCAGGAGAATCGTTTGAACCCGGGCAGCAGAGGTTGCAGTGAGCTGAGATCGGACCACTGCACTCCAGCCTGGGTGATGGAGTGAGACTATGTCTCAAAAAAGTAAAGAAATGGCCGGGTGCGGTGGCTCAAGCCTGTAATCCCAGCACTTAGGGAGGCCGAGGCGCGTGGATCACGAGGTCAAGAGATCGAGACCATCCTGGTCAACAAGGTGAAACCTTGTCTATACTAAAAATACAAAAATTAGCTGGGCATGATGGTGCATGCCTGTAGTCCCAGCTACTCGGGAGGCTGAGGCCGGAGAATTGCTTGAACCCAGGAGGCGGAGGTTGCAGTGAGCCGAGATCGTGCCATTGCACTCCAGCCTGGGCAACAACAGCAAAACTCCGTCTCAAAAAAAATGAAAATAAAAATAAATAATAAAAATAAAGAAGTTCTGGTACCAGATTTGACCAGGAAAGGGGTGTTAGTTAAAATGACGTTTGACATCATTATTACTTAAAATAAGCTATATTTTTAAATAATGAATTCCAGTGAAATGAGGTTAGGGTGTTTTTTGGCTGTGATGTAGAGGTTTGTTTAGGTTTGAAACAGAACTTTTAAAATATGAGCACCATTACATAGCCGTTGTTTTGTTTTGTTTTCCCCCAGCTTTAGCGTCACCTCCCTCACTGGGCGGCATGGGGGAGAAGTCAGAGAACTGTAGGGTTCCAGAGGATCTGTTCAATGGTTTGAAGGTTTCAGATATTCAGGAAGCTGAGTGTGCTGGCCCTCCAGTTCCTGATCCCAAAAATCAGCATTCCCAGAGTAAGCCGCTCAGGGGTGATGAGGCCTATCTCCAGGAGGACCAGGGAGAAGAGGAGTGTTTTCATGACTGCAGTGCCTCATTTGAGGAGGAGGCAGGAGCAGACAAGGTTGAAAACAAATCTAATGAAGATGTGAATTCCTGTGAACTAGATGAAGAATACCTAATAGAACTGGAAAAAAACATGTCAGATGAAGAGAAACAGGTAAGTATTTTGTTTCTTGTGGAAGATCTGCTACTTTCACTGCATTTTAAAATAATGTGGTTGGTACTGCATCATAGACCACTGCATCTGTGGTAAAGAATAACTTGCCCCTTTGTCATCTTATTGTTTTAGTAGTGATGAATCTGAGATAAATCAGTAGCATAACAGGGAAGCACTGAGTGTGTCTGCTTAGCAAAGAAATTTTCATTCTTTTCTGTGAACCTTGAGTTCTATGTTCATCTTATACTTCAGTAGTCTAACGTAAGAGTCCTTTTGTTTCATTATTTTCAAAATGTATACATCCTTTTTAGTTTTCTATTATGACCTTTTCTGTGGTTGGCTGCTGAAATTTTTGTAACGAACATTTTTATGTTTATGCCACATTATATTTATGCTACATTTATGCTTATGAACATTTCCTGTTTATGCTTATCCCTTGTTAGCAAAATACGACTGCCTGAATATCTTGGTGGAGTTTGGGTTGCAGAGATCTTGAGGAACATAATCATGTTTGATTATAGCTAGCTGTTGTTTGCTGAAAGCCTGCAATGTGCCATCCACTGACTTAAAATGTTACTTGTGTTTTTGTTGATTTTCACAACATGCCTGAGATACACACTTAGCATTTCCCATAAGGAAACAGCTTAAGAGTGGTGAAGTAACTAGCCCAAAATCAAACACCTAATGAATTGCAGAACTAATTCTCAAATCAAATCTGTTTGATTCCAAAGCCAGAGTATAATGTAGAATGTAATAACAAAAACATCTGTCTTTCTACAAAGCAGATAAACTAATAAAATGTACAGTCTCCTGCTTCTTTTCTCTGGGGCTACACCCTTAACTGGGCAGGCCTTCACTTTTGGAGACATCTGCTGTCCTACTTCCTTCTGCTTGCACAAGCTAGGTAGTCTATGGAGAGTCACTGTAATATCTTGAGTTTGTCTACAAAGAACTTGAACAAGATTGTAGTTTCTACCACTAACAAGCTTACTCACTGAACAGGTTGTGATACATTGGTAATGAGTTGAGATCATAAACGTGCAGCCTAAGCCTAACAGTGGGGGTGGGAAAGTCCTGGGGTGGGAAGGAGCGTCTTCTCTTTCCTCTTTCCTTGGCATTTTTGATTATCAAATCAGTTAGCTTTATGTGAACTTACTCGCTTTTTGTGCTAGTGTCTGCCACCAGAACAGGAGGAAAAAGGGTAAAAATGAGCCAAGTTTATAAACTGCCAAAGCAAATACAGCTCAAAAAAATTAAATACTGTTCCATAGCATTATAGCGGGTTTCAGTCTTTTTAGAAACACTGATTATGCATCTATGTTAAAAATTTAGCAATGCTTTTCTGATACCTTAATGTATTTTACCCTGAAATCATAACAAATTTTCTAATGCCCTCTGGATTTGACAGTTGAATGGTTTGGCTCAAGGTGTCACAAAGTCTGATCCCCACCTCTAATTTAGTAAAACTTTTTTTGTTACTTTTGTATCCTAGATCAGAAAATCATACTTTAAGGTCTATAAATACTTTTAGGATTTTTTTTTTTTTTTATTTTTTTTATTTTTGCGACAGGATCTCACTCTGTTACCCAGGCTGGATGGGCTCAAATGGATCCTCCTACCTTAGCCTCCTGAGTAGCTGGGACAACAGGCATGCCCTACCCTGGCTGGCTAATTTTTGTAGGTTTTTTGGTAGAAGCAATGTCTCACTACATTGCCCAGGCTGGCCTCCATCTCCTGGGCTTAAGCAGTCCTCCCAATTTGGCCTCCCAGAGTGCTGGGATTACAGGCATGAACCAGCACACCCAGCCAGGATAATTATTTTTATTGCCTGTAAGTTTAATATTCTAGGTAGAACAATACATTTTTTCACTTTTTTCCCTCCTTTTAAAAATTGAGATATCATTTAGTGAAACACTATGTCAGGACTAATGTGTAGAATTCAGTGAGTTTTGACAATTATATACACCTGTGTAACTCGCATTTCTATGAAGATAGAGAACATTTACCTCATGTCAGAAACTGGATTTGTGTGCTTTATCAGTCATTCCTTTCCCAACCCCACCAGTCTCTGGTTAACCACTGTTCTGATTCCTATCTCATAGGTGGCTTTTTCCTGATCCAGACTTGTATATAAATATAATTATACAGTAGTATTCATATTTAAAACATAAATATTTTCTATTATTTTATACATATCAGTCTAAGTGTTTTCATAGCTGAATTTGAAAATTTGTATGAATAGCTCATAACAGTAACATACTGTAGTGCTAGTCCTGTTATTTAGAGAAATGTAAGCCACTAACTCCACTTTAAGGAAACAACCTATGAGAGTACAAATTGCCTTCAGCTAATTGTGGTACTTACTCTATTAGCTGTTTTCATGCTATTTTGATAAATATCTTTCTGAAATTTTCAAGAAGCCAGCAAAATAGGTGAAGAAATGTCTTCTGCATATGGTTTGGGTTTAATAGGTCATTAGGAACAGGATAGTTTTACATTTGAATCTTTCTTAACAGATAAAAGTTCAGATAGTTAACAACAAAAAACAAATAGGCCGGGTGCAGTGGCTCACGCCTGTAATCCCAGCACTTTGGGAGGCTGAGGCAGGCAGATCACCTGAGGTTGAGAATTTGAGACCAGCCTGACCAACACAGAGAAACCCCATCTCTACTAAAAATACAAAATTAGTCAGGCATGGTGGTGCATGCCTGTAATCCCAGCTACTTGGGAGGCTGAGGCAGGAGAATCACTTGAGCCTGGGAACCTGAGGCTGCAGATTGCGCCATTGTACTCCAGCCTGGGCAATAAGAGCGAAACTTCATCTCAAAAAAAAAACACAAATGACCAAAAAATGTAAAAAGACTTTCAGCCTCATTAATAATAATAAATAATACAAACTAAAACATTATGTCTAATCTGTCAGATCAGAACGCTGATCTGATGGTGACAAGGAGAGGATATTGGAACTCATATATTAATACTGTGAATTTAAATTGTTATGTTACTGCATGGGATGTAGATACCAAATTTTTATATGAACATTTCTTTAGATAGGGCTATCAATGGGCTCTTCTGCTATGATAGGAACGTTCTACATCTGCACCACACAGTAAGGTAGCTGCTGACTACATCAGGCTGTTGAGCACTTAAATGTGGCTATTACAGCTGAAGAACTGAATTTTACATAACTAATTTAAATACTCACACGGGGTGGCTCACACCTGTAATCCCAGCACTTTGGGAGGCTAAGGCGGGCAGTTCACCAGAGGTAAGGAATTTGAGACCAGCCTGGCCAACATGGTGAAACCCCATCTCTACCAAAAATACAAAAATTAGCCAGGCCTGGTGGCAGGCGCCTGTAATCCCAGCTACTCGGGAGGTTGAGGCAGGAGAAGTGCTCGAAACCAGGAGGTGGAGATTGCAGTGAGCCAAGATCACACCCCTGCATTCCTGCCTGGCAGGCAAGAACAAGACTCCATCTCAGAAAATAAATAAAAAGTCACACGGGCCAGGGACAGTGGCTCATTCCGATAATCCCAGCACTTGGGAGGCTGAGGCTGGAGGAGTACTTGAACCCAAGAGTTTGAGACCAGCCTGGGCAACATAGTGAGACCCTGCCTCTCAAAAAAAAATTTTTTTAAGCCTTTAAAAAAATAATAACCACATGTTTACAAGCCTATAGCCCCACCACTCAGGAGGCCGAGGCAGGAGGATCCCTGGAGCCTGGGAGTTTGAGGCTGCAGTGAGCCATGATCGTGCCATTGCACTCCAGCCTGTGCAACAGAGTGAGACCTTGTCTCAAAATGAATAAATAAATAATTTTAATTAAAATAGTCATATGTGCCTAATAACTATCATACTGGACATGACAGCACTAACACTGATTCTCTTGTAGCCATTTATTCAAGGAAATTGTTAGAAATATGCACAAATGTATATACATAGATGTATTGTAGCATCATTCATAATTTTAGAAAGCTAGACAATGTTAAACAGGGTATTTGTAGTATAGTAAATATATTTGGTCTTTGTCCCTGGTTCCTGTCACAAAGCCCCTAAAACCCTTGGAATTTTGTGATAATGTATCTTTTGTTATTCTTAATGCACCCCTTTTGATAACACCTGAGTTCATCCTAATGAGTTAACTTTTAGGGTATGGCCTATCAATAGCCTAAGGATGGAGCCAGTCACCAAAAAGACCAAGTGATTAGAGGTTTAGAGGGTTGGAACTTTTGGCACTATCTACCAAACTCCAGGAAAGGAAGAGGGCAAAGCTCCATAAAACCTTTTTTCTTTTTGTGTTTTGAGCCGTCTTGCTGTGTTGCTGTTGTATTGGATCGAGCGTAGAAAGTTAGCACCAATACAAAAGTATGCCAGATTGCAGGGTCATTTATTATGCCGGCGACCACAGAGGACTCACGTCTCTCCAACCTGTGGCGTCAAAAGGAGGGTGCCAAGACTTTTTATACCCGAAAAACCACCTTGGGAGTGAGGGTGAGGAGTGGGGATGGGGATGAAAAGGTTTTGGAGATTCCAAGGGCTAGGGGATTCTGTGATTCACCTCCTGGGCGGAGACGAGGGCGGGGGTCTCCGGACATTCCAAGGGCCAGGGGACTTTTGTCATTCTGTTTGTTACTTCAGTGGTTTACAGAAGTCAAGATAAGCATTTGTTTACACACAGATCTTAGTTATCCTGGGCTGCTTATTTTAGTTATTACTAAATAACTAAAGCAAAGGCTAGCAATTCTGGCACAATATCACATTGCCCAGGCTGGAATGCAAAGGTGCGATCATAGCTCACTGCAGCCTTTGACCTCCTGGGCTCAAGCAGTCCTCCTACATCAGTGTCCCAAGTAGCTGGGACCATAGGCGCCCGCCAAGACACCTGGCTAATTTTGTTTGTATTTGAAATGAGGTCTCACTATGTTGCCCAGGCTGGTCTCGAACTGCTGGGCTCAAGCAATATTCCCTTATCAGCCTCCCAAAGTGCTAGGATTACA